CACGTCCGGTAAGGCTTTGAATGTCCTTCTGTGTCTTCGGCGTTTCCATGTTTATTATGGCTTTGATTTTCTCGGGATTAGCCTTAATTTACCGGAAGATACATAAGATACATCGAAAGCGCACTTTGTTGGGTTCAGCCTCATTCGGTAGTCCTTTAGTATACCGAACATGAGGGCTAGGTTTTCCAGATGCCCCCCTGCCGTTCGGCTTTTCACCAACATGTCTTCGACATATACCTCCATAATGCCGCCGATGTGCTTAGTAAAAATCCGGTTGACGAGCCGTTGATAAGTTGCTCCCGCGTTTTTCAGGCCGAAGGGCATGACGTTGTAACAGTACAAACCGCGGTCGGTGATGAATACCATATGCTCTCTATTGGCAGGGTCCATAAAGATCTGGTTGTATCCTGAGTAGGCGTCCATGAAGCTCAGCAGCTCGTGTCCAGTGGTAGTGTCGACGAGCTGGTTGATTCTCGGCAAGGGGAAATTGTCCTTCGGACAAGCCTTATTCAGGTCGGTATAATCCTGACACATCCGCCATCCTTCTTTGGCCTTCCGAACCATGACTGAGTTGGCAAGCCAGACAGGGTACGTAGCTTCCCTGATAAAGCCGATGGCTTTGAGCTTGTCAACCTCGGCACGCATCGCCTGATACCGTTCAGCATCATATGAGCGGCGCTTCTGTCTGACCGGTTTGTGGGCGGTGGAGATGCTGAGCTTGTGGCTAATGACATCAGGTGATATGCCGGGCATATCGTCATAAGACCAGGCGAAGACTTCCGCCTGTTGCCGTAAGAAGTCGATGAACTGTCTTCGGATTTCAGGATCTAGACTGGTGCCGATTTTTACCCACCGATCGGGAAAATCCTCGTTCAGGACCACGGTCTCGAGCTCTTCGGCAGGCTGTGCTATCGGCGCTGACGTTTCCTCCCTGGGGTCATCAATGGGCCCACTACCGTTTGGTAGTTCTTGCACGATCAACCATTGGAGGCTTGCAAGCTACCGATTTAAGAGCAGTGGCATAGCACGTCCGTGCGCTGAGCTGATCACCCCAGATGACGCTTGTACCGTTGCAAGTAGGGAACTTCATCAGCAACATGTGGGGGGATAAGTGGGCTTTGATCCTGGTGAGTGCCGTGCGCCCTATGATGACGTTATATGCCGTTGGGGAGTCGACAATGAGGAACTGGTCGTAGGTCATTGTTTTCCTGAGGGCGAGATCGAAGGCGATGGGCAGACTGATACTACCGACCGGTTGGACCAGATCCCCAGAAAAACTGAGGAGGGGCGTAATTTGTCGATTGACCATGCTGTCGGCAATTCCCAATCCCTTGAAAGCATCGGCAAAAATTACGTTCACCAAACTCCCGGTGTCGATTAGCACCCGACCTACATCGTAGTCGGCGATCTCGGCCCGAATGATCATTGGGTCATCGTGGGGGTAAATGATCCCTTCCTCTTCTTCTTCGCTGAATGTGATGGGCTCTCACCCTACTTTCGGGACCTTACAGCACCGATCGTCCTCTATACCAAAGACCTGGGGGTAGTGAGCGGCACGCACATACTGTTTTATTGAATGGTTAGAGGGTCCCGCCAGAGTGGGGCCTCCGCTGATGGTGCTGATCATGTTGATCTGCCGATTCGCGTTCGGTGCTGGGGCCTGTGGTGGCCTGGCGATGTAATGATCTAGCTTTCCTTCCCGAATCAGGCGCTCAACGATCTTCCTCAGACTGATGCAGTCTTCGGTGTTGTGGCTGTTCTGCTGGTGGTATCGGCAGAATTTGCCAGTGTCCCGATTTTCCTGCCGA